ATTTTTGATAATTAAAACTTAAGCTTTTGTTTGTTACTGTGTTAGAGTCATATCAAAGTGTAACACTCTGGCATGGTGACAGCAGGAAGAACAGGTGAGACAGGTAACATGTCTGTGAGTGGATGAAGATGATATCAGAGATGATCAGCAGCTCTGATGTCATCACAGGTAAACAGCTCAGATGGTGTCATAGGATGGATCATGTAGAGGAGCCCCCCTTATGATGGTGGTGGTGGTGATGATAATGATAATGAAGACCAGTTAATTCAGGCTGTGTGTGTGTGTGTCATATGCTGAGTGTGATTAAAGTCCTGAAATAAAGAATGTACATTCTGATAAAGTGGAGACAACGTGTGTCAGTGAACTTTTATTACAAACATCAAATTCATGTGAAAATAAACAATCAGAATCAGTTCAAAAATGGCGTTACAGCTCTTCGATCAATAACACTTCCTCCTCAACACTCTGACCTTCAACATGTGCTCACATTAATGTGAGCTCTGTGCGTGTGTGTGTGTGTGTGTGTTTGTGTGTTCACTCTCCAGTGTATCGTGGGGGTCTCTTCTCTATGAAAGCAGCCATGCCCTCCTGTCTGTCCCGTGTTGGGATCACCTAGGACGTGTAAAGCAACAAAATAAAAAAGTATTTTATGTTTGTTATAAAACAGAAGAATGATCTCAGTCATGAAAAAAAATGGAAGTTTTAAAATCATGACAAATTTGGCAGTAATCTAGGCTCTGGGATGCTGTGGGCTTATCTGAAGAATGTGCTGAAAGTACGCACACTCATGGTAAAGATAAGCGTGTGATTAAAATTTGTCACATTTTGACTTACAGAGGATGACTTTATTGTCCCCATTGGGAAATTCCCAGCCCTGTTTCTGTCCATCAGACAATTCCCACCAAAGAACAGTGCATACACAGAACACAGAACACAGTGTATAACACAAACAGAGTTCAACAACAATCAAGAGTTCCCACTCTGGCCTGTTTAGCGGGTCCTTTTGTTTAGGGCAGCTATAACCGCAGGGATCAGGCTTCAGTGCTCTTTACCTCCGTCCTGAGGGAAGTGGGGTGGGTGTTCAGTGGGTGTGTGATGTCCTGTTCTATTGAGGTTACAATGCTTGTGATGGCTCTGTTGTTGAGTTCTGTTAGGTTGGGTGTGGGGAGACCAAATATTCTGGCAGCTGTGGTTGTGATGCGTGTGAGTTTGGCCTTGTTTTTAACATATCATGTTGAAGAAGCAGGTGTAACAATCAATGGGATAGGCTGGATCATGCTCTGATATAGCAGCAGGAGGAGATGGGGGGCAACATAAAGTCCTTTGAGTTTGCGGATGGCTGACAGTCTTTGATTTTTTGGATTGTCACTAGTGGGCTGTTAGAAACTGAGGTGGTTGTCTAGTGTCACTCCAAGGTATTTGAATCTGTCAACTATTTCCGTTGTTTGGGTATTAATGAGAAGGGGACTAATTATGAATTATTTTGTCTTAGGGACATTGAGATGGAGATCATCAGTTACTAAACATACGCAGCTTTGTTTTGCTGTAGGGGGCTGGGTTATGCTAATGATCCCCAGTGTGTCAACCGGACCATTCAGAAACTTTTTCCCCACATATTTACTGTGTTTAGACACCACTTTCTGATTTTGATTTATAGGAACTTTAAAGTTGTGCAGTCTCACCTGAGCGTAACACATCCTCTCGATGGCCATGGCTGAACTCATGTTTACCTGTTAAGACACAGAGACGGTCACATGACTGAGAAACAGAAATAAGAAGTACAGGTGAGTCATGACGTACCTCCATCCCTCTGTTTATAGCCTCTTTAGCCAGTCCCACCGCCAGAGGGGCCTGGAGAGAGAAACACACACACACACAGGGCTTCATACCTCCTCTTCAGAAACCAACCAGTGAGACTACGTCTATGTGTTATACAGTCTAGGGTCCTGTTGGTGTGTTTTCTCAACTCAACTTGATCTCTGGCCTTGAAGCTGTGTGTGTGTGTGTGTGTGTGTGTGTGTGTGTGTGTGTGTGTGTGTGTGTGTGTGTGTGTGTGTGTGTGTGTTTGTGTGTCTGAATGACCTGGGGGAGGATCTCTCTGGCCAGGCTCAGAGCTTCTCTGTAGGCAGCATCTCCTGTCTGATTCTGATCCACTGATCTGTTCACAAGACCCATCTGAAGAGCTGAGACCCCGTCCACACACCTTCCTGAGAGTGAGAGAGAGAGAGAGAGAGAGAGAGTGGGTGGGGGGATTAATTTGGTAGGCTAATGTTTGAGTAAAGTTTCAACAATATTTGAGTCTTATTTTAGTATTGATTCAGTAATGTTTTATTAATGTTTAAAATGATGTTTCAGTTTTGTTTCAATTATGTTTTAGTGGTGTTTCAGTAATACGTATTTCAGAGATATTTCTGTGTCTCCACCTGTGAAGATGAGCTCTTTGGCCAGAGGTATGCCGACTGTCCTGGGTAGACGCTGACTGCCACCTGCAAGACAAACCAGGTGAAGGTTAGGGGGCAGGAGTAGTTCAGTCTGTAGGGACCAGAGGGTTGCCCGTTCAAGTCGTACCTTGCTTGAGAAGTGCTAATTCACTTCCACTGTTGCTGTGCCCTTGAGCAAGACACCCCCCCCCCCAGAGCTCACTCTGACATCTCTTCATTAGTACATGTGTGTAAGAAACTGTTTGTGCATGTGTGTATTTCAGCCTATGAATGTGAGAAGCATGTTCAATTACATAGTGTAAAACTGAATTTCCCTTCACAGGATGAATAAAGTATGTATTCTTCTTAACCGCTCCCTGCTCCTTCACTTTTCCTCTTCCTCACTTTGTACTCTGCAGGTGTGCGTGTGACCAGCATGTCTCACCTGCCCCCGGCAGCAGCCCCCGAGTCGTCTCGATCAGACCCATCTGAGCTGAGGACGCTGAGACATAAACACAGAGGACGATGAAGGTCATTACACTGATTGATGCTTCTGTCAGAGCAACACACACACATCCCTGAGACACACTTCTGCTAACCTATCTCGTCACAGAGGAGCCAATCACGAGGTGCCGATTGTAACCAATCAAAGTAGGGCTCAGCTCTGTGTACAGCTGGATGTGCGTGTGTTCATTATTGAAACACACACTCAGGAACACACTGTTTGCACACACACACACAGATTGCTGTGTCTTTGCACATCTTGATCAAATTTCATCACTTAACTCCAGTTTTAAACTGACGTGTGTCACGTTCAGGCACACAACAACTGAGTCCTCACAAAGTGATATAAAATCGATATCTCAATGACCTTTCAAAAATCAAAACAAACCTGTACCAATACAGAGGTCACTCACCTGCAGTGCGAAGGTCACAGGCCAGAGCCAGCTCCAGCCCCCCGCCCACAGCAACGCCATCCACCGCCGCGATGGTGGGCATGGGCAACAATGCTGCAGGGGGAGGGGTGTAAAGAAAAAGAGGTTCATGTATGTAAACACGCACACAGTAACATGTCTGAGTGTTTGTGTCTCACCTATCTGAGTCATGAGGGATCTCAGGCTGTGAACAAACAGATCAGACTGAGTGTGATCCATCTGAGAGCGTTCCTTCAGGTCTGCCCCTGTTAGAACATACACACACACACACGCCTGGAATCAAACTCACCTGTGTGTACATCACACACAAATGCCATCACACACAGACGCTGAGCTCTGACCTGCACAGAAAACACCTGGAACTGAGCTCCTGAAGACGACCACACGAGCTGCTTGGTCAGAGGACAGACAGGACACCAGCACCCTCATCTGGGCACACACACAGGCTGTCAGAATGTGTGTGTGTGTGTGTGTGTGTGTGTGTGTGTGTGTGTGTGTGTGTGTGTGTGTGTGTCCAAGTGTGTCTGTGCATTAGCTCACCTGTGAGACAAAAACATGTCCCAGAGCGTTTCTAGCTTTGTGTCGACACATCAGAACCTCGATGATCCCTGAAGGAGACAAACTGTTTTTAATCAGTCAGTAATCAGCAGTTAATGATCAACCGTAAGTGATCAGCAGTAAGTGTGTTAGTGATCAGCAGTAAGTGTGTTAGTGATCAGCAGTAAGTGTGTTAGTGATCAGCAGTAAGTGTGTTAGTGATCAGCAGTAAGTGTGTAGTGATCAGCAGTAAGTGTGTTAGTGATCAGCAGTATGTTAGTGATCAGCAGTAAGTGTGTTAGTGATCAGCAGTATGTTAGTGATCAGCAGTAAGTGTGTTAGTGATCAGCAGTAAGTGTGTTACTGATCAGCAGTAAGTGTGTTAGTGATCAGCAGTAAGTGTGTTAGTGATCAGCAGTATGTTAGTGATCAGCAGTATGTTAGTGATCAGCAGTAAGTGTGTTAGTGATCAGCAGTAAGTGTGTTAGTGATCAGCAGTAAGTGTGTTACTGATCAGCAGTAAGTGTGTTAGTGATCAGCAGTAAGTGTGTTAGTGATCAGCAGTATGTTAGTGATCAGCAGTAAGTGTGTTAGTGATCAGCAGTATGTTAGTGATCAGCAGTAAGTGTGTTAGTGATCAGCAGTAAGTGTGTTACTGATCAGCAGTAAGTGTGTTACTGATCAGCAGTAAGTGTGTTAGTGATCAGCAGTATGTTAGTGATCAGCAGTATGTTAGTGATCAGCAGTAAGTGTGTTAGTGATCAGCAGTAAGTGTGTTACTGATCAGCAGTAAGTGTGTTACTGATCAGCAGTAAGTGTGTTAGTGATCAGCAGTATGTTAGTGATCAGCAGTAAGTGTGTTAGTGATCAGCAGTATGTTAGTGATCAGCAGTAAGTGTGTTACTGATCAGCAGTAAGTGTGTTACTGATCAGCAGTAAGTGTGTTAGTGATCAGCAGTAAGTGTGTTAGTGATCAGCAGTATGTTAGTGATCAGCAGTATGTTAGTGATCAGCAGTAAGTGTGTTAGTGATCAGCAGTAAGTGTGTTACTGATCAGCAGTAAGTGTGTTAGTGATCAGCAGTAAGTGTGTTACTGATCAGCAGTAAGTGTGTTAGTGATCAGCAGTAAGTGTGTTAGTGATCAGCAGTAAGTGTGTTACTGATCAGCAGTAAGTGTGTTAGTGATCAGCAATAAGTGTGTTACTGATCAGCAGTAAGTGTGTTACTGATCAGCAGTAAGTGTGTTACTGATCAGCAGTAAGTGTGTTAGTGATCAGCAGTAAATGTGTTACTGATCAGCAGTATGTTAGTGATCAGCAGTAAGTGTGTTACTGATCAGCAGTAAGTGTGTTACTGATCAGCAGTAAGTGTGTTACTGATCAGCAGTAAGTGTGTTAGTGATCAGCAGTAAATGTGTTACTGATCAGCAGTATGTTAGTGATCAGCAATAAGTGTGTTACTGATCAGCAGTAAGTGTGTTACTGATCAGCAGTATTAGTGATCAGCAGTAAGTGTGTTACTGATCAGCAGTAAGTGTGTTAGTGATCAGCAGTATGTTAGTGATCAGCAGTAAGTGTGTTACTGATCAGCAGTATGTTAGTGATCAGCAGTAAGTGTGTTACTGATCAGCAGTAAGTGTGTTACTGATCAGCAGTATGTTAGTGATCAGCTGTTAGTGATTAACACTGTTGTTGTCAATCTTTCCTCAGCCAGCATAAAAATGCTCCTGACAGTAAACTGAATTAAAAGATGATTAATGATGAAGAGTCGTTTTAACTTTTTCAACACCACATGTTTTAATAATACAATAAATTATTTTGACTATTGTATTGAAAAGTTGTGTGTTATATGTGTGTAACAGTGTGTAACAGTGTGTAACAGTGTGTTATTGTGTGAATCTGACAATAGTATGTCTCTCTACGGCCTTAAAGCTGTTAGTGTGCTAGTGATCAGCAGTAAGTGGTGTTAGTGATCAGCAGTAAGTGTGTTAGTGATCAGCAGTAAGTGTGTTACTGATCAGCAGTAAGTGTGTTAGTGATCAGCAGTAAGTGTGTTACTGATCAGCAGTAAGTGTGTTAGTGATCAGCAGTATGTTAGTGATCAGCAGTAAGTGTGTTACTGATCAGCAGTAAGTGTGTTAGTGATCAGCAGTAAGTGTGTTACTGATCAGCAGTAAGTGTGTTAGTGATCAGCAGTAAATGTGTTACTGATCAGCAGTATGTTAGTGATCAGCAATAAGTGTGTTACTGATCAGCAGTAAGTGTGTTACTGATCAGCAGTATGTTAGTGATCAGCAGTAAGTGTGTTACTGATCAGCAGTATGTTAGTGATCAGCAGTAAGTGTTACTGATCAGCAGTAAGTGTGTTACTGATCAGCATATGTTAGTGATCAGCTGTTAGTGATTAACACTGTTGTTGTCAATCTTTCCTCAGCCAGCATAAAAATGCTCCTGACAGTAAACTGAATTAAAAGATGATTAATGATGAAGAGTCGTTTTAACTTTTTCAATACCACATGTTTTAATAATACAATAAATTATTTTGACTTATTGTATTGAAAAGTTGTGTGTTATAGTGTGTAACAGTGTGTAACAGTGTGTTATTGTGTGAATCTGACAATAGTATGTCTCTCTACGGCCTTAAAGGTAATCAGTGTGTCTCTCCAGGTAACCTCGGTGTGTGTGTGTGGTGTGTGTGTGTGTGTGTGTGGTGTGTGTGTGTGTGTGTGTGTGAACAGGCAAACTTAGTTGTGTCTCCAGGTAACCTCGGTGTGTTTGTGTTTATACAGGTAACCTCGGAGTGTGTGTCTCTTCAGGTTCCTGTGTTGTGTGTGTGGTGTGTGTGTGTGTGTGTGTGTGTGTGTGTTTTGTGTGTGTTGTTCGTACGTCGTCCTCCCCCTCTAAACGCCTCAGATCCACCTCAAGCGGATCCGCAGCCTCCGTGTGCTGCTGCGGCTCTGTGCGGGACTGTTCCACCGGCCTCCGCCGGTATGACGTGCTGCTCCGTCCCGGAGGATCAAGCGGAGGTCTGTCCACGTGTTTCCCACAGGTTTAGAGGGAGCATCGGCCTGAAGGAGACGTGTTGCCAGACAGTCTGCGGAGGAGAGTGACATGATTACTGACAGTTTCGATAAGTCTGTTTGAGCACAGAACCCGGAAGTAAGAGGTTTCATCCAATCAGAGGTGGAGGTCAGATCCGAACTTTAGACTGGTTTATGTCAAAGCCATACTCTGGTTTAACTTGACTTACTGCTCTGAACCGAGTTAACTTTTTTATGATACAGAACTGGCTTTATAAAACACAGGTTTATATTTACTGTATATAGGCTTTTACATAGGCCTATATTTCACATGAAAGAGTCTGTGGTTCAAACAGGACCACATGGCTCTAGACTGAGTTTATTCTGTAGTGGTAGAATTAACTTGAAGAGACAGTTGTATTTTTAATATGTTGTAAATAATAAAGGGTTATACACCAGTGCACTGCAGAAAGCTACAACATGACATCAGTTTGTTGTTTAGTGACTGATTTACAGTTTCACATTTATAATCGATGAGTTTATGTATGTTATGTTTGAGACAGTGAGGGCTGACTTTCCACTGTACATCATTAAACTGTAACTAACAGGGTTTTAAATAAAAACAGTATTTTGTGTGAGTTATCACGTCAGTTTCATTTACAGTGCCTCATGTCTCATGGGGGGTCGTATGCATTAAAAAATTATTGTTGGGTTGCAGCACCGTATGATATGCGCTCTAGTGCTCTTATGTAAGTGGCTAATAATGATGAATATGATTTGAATACATTAGAGTCCTCCGAAGTAAAAAGTAAAATAACTGCTGTTATGTAATAACTCATGCATTCAAAATGAAACATTTGACACATAGTTTTAATATGGTCGGTTGTTAGTTTGTTCTGTGTTTAAATGTTTTAAATAACAGGATTTTACACTTACATAATTTATGTTTGTAGGGTCTCCATCAGACTGAGACTTTTTTAATAAAATCCTTTGAATAGAGTTGACTATGAATCATTGAAATGACTCAGTTTCAGTAAAATGTGGTTTCTCTCCTTCCTCTGAGCACTCCAAGTTTGAGTCACAGAGGATCATTTAGAAAGTCATGGTTGTTTTCTTCCTCTTTAAAGGAGAAGTAGTACCTTTCAGAAGTGCAGCAAACAATTAAGTGTTTTAAACCTGCCCTATTAAAAATGTACAGCAGGGGGCGACTCCAGCATTGCTACCTGTCAGTCGTTTTATTCCCTCATTAAACATTTTCCTAATGAGTTTATGGTCTCCGTCTCTGGAATCAAGTATTCTTCAACACAGCATGAGAAGGGAAAGTTACGGGGGCTACCTGTGATTGACAGGTCACTACCATTCTTAAATAATTTCAGAACCTTAATATGTGGCATAATATTAGTCATGCCTCCTTCTTGTTTATTTTGATGTATCCTTTACTTTAGCAGAGAGAACCCATTGAAACCAAGGTCTTTTTTCCAGGGATTCTCTGCAGCAATACAGTACAAGACAGAACAATAATATACAAAACACAGTTAAAATAATAACAAATAAATTAATAAACACACTGATTTGTACAGACCATGCCCTTTTTAAAAAGTCACATTTTAAAACAGTGGAAATGACTTTCCTTTAGTAGTTCACACACTAGCTCTTTAAAAACACTGTGTGTTACAAGACAAGGCAACTTAGAAGTCATTTTAAAATTGTTTCACATAATCGGTGTTGTAACACTAAAAGCAGTCGTTCCCATTCAGTCATCCTAATGCTTGGTATTTTTAAGGTGATTCAGTTTTGAGATCATGGTTGTTGGTATTAAGATGTTTGTAGACAGAAGAGAAGTCAGGTAAGGAGGATCTTGACCAATGAGTGCCTTAAAAAATAGACAGAATACTCTGCTGCTTCTTCGTTGACCCAAGAGGGCCAGTCTGCAGACCAATAGGTCACAATGGAGAGTACTAAACCTATCACCTGTAATAAGAAGAAGAGCACGATGATACAGCATCAAATGGCTTCAGGACAGATGCACTTGCATGTGTATAGACTGAGACTTACATACAGAGTCAATGGGAGCGTCAGCCAGGTTGAGGTAAAGTTTTCCGTCTCGGCTCATGTGCAGTCTGACTGCATTATTGATCGGCTCTTTACAGGTTACACAATCACACACAGAGTCAGTGTGTGTGTGTGTGTGTGTGTGTGTGTGTGTGTGTGTGTGTGTGTGTGTGTGTGTGTGTGTGTGTGTCTGTCTGTCTGTCTGTTTGGGAGGATAAACAGAAAGTGAAAGTATCAAACGTGTGTGACTCTCAGGTTGACGTGACTCACACAGAAAGACACACTGACAGGTTCAGAGGTTCAGTCTGAGTCTGACAGGTAAACAGAGATCAGTCACACCTGCGTCACCTGTTGCTTCTGGTCCTCATGTCCTCTCAGGTGAACTAGACGGAAAACACATGATGTCTGACGTCTGATTCTGACACACACACACACACGCGCACACACACACACGCACACAATTACCAGCAGTGTAGTGTTGCCTAAAGAAGTGAATATACTCTTATTTTTTCTCACAAATGTTTCTTTTCAAGTGGCCCATCCAGCAGAGGATAAACAGTGTTTATCTGTGTTATAAACAGTGACATGGAAGACTACTAGGGGTGGAAATCACCAAAGACCCCATGATATGATATTATGACGATACTTGAATCACGTTAAGATGCGATTTTAAACATTTTGCAATATGCTGAGAATTGCAATACAATATATTGCATTCAACTTTAACTGCATATTATGTCCACAAAAAATAAACTACATCAAGAACTGTTTTGTGAAATAAGAAAACATTTTCAGTCTTTTCATCTCACTTTTATCAACACTGTGACTGATTACAGTAAAACCCTGTCAAAGGCTGCGTGTACTTCACAATCTGAACTGTTGGTATTTCAGTCTTCTCAAACTCAACTGGACACAAACATGTATGAACGACTGTACAATTGCAGTAATTATTAACAATTCAACTTGTTCCAAAATGAATTGTATAACCCCCTCCAGCAATTAAAAACTAAAAAAAGCATATTTACTCATATAATAAAAATATCGATACTTGGGGGCCATGAATCGATATAATCGCCCTGCAAAATATTGTGATACTATACCGTATCAAGTGCCCTAAATCTCTTGCATATTTAGTCAGTGCGTAGTAGTAAGTAGGGAAGGTCATCCCCTCACCATCCTAGGAAAGAAATTGTAGCATACTACTGATTATTGTCAATCAATGGTTCGGACGAGAGGGGATTTAGAAGATGTGGGAATACCCTATGGAAGCTGAAAAACAAGTGGGTATACTCCGTATACCTGTACCTGCACTACACCAGGGACTTTAACCACACCTCCATTACACTGATGACCCATTTAAAGATTAAAAGATTTACCTTAAGATCGACAAGCCTTGAAAACTCTAATGCAGTTTATATGATATCAACAATAACAATGATTTTAAATTTGCAATATGTGCATCTTTTTTGGGCTTATTGCCTTAATTTGATAGGACAGTCGAAAGATAGAGTGGGGAATGACATGGGGGAAAGGAGCCACAGGCTGGACTTGAACCTGGGCCGCCTGCTTGGAGGACTATGGGGTTGAACCTAACCGCTAGGCCATCTACATGCCACTATTGTTTTTTCTTTAAATAAATAATTAGTTTTTTCGTTACTCTGACAGTTTTCATTAGGAGAGAAACAAATAACAGGACTAAAAAGGACCCCTTCCAACCCCTACTACGAATACACAGAAATACCCACCTACACACAGTATTCTCTGACTGTGACGATCAGAGGACAGAGAGAAGTTAGGTACTCTGGAGAGAAACACCTGGTGATGTAATAACAGTCCTGCCCACTGTGTGTGTGTGTGTGTGTGTGTGTGTGTGTGTGTGTGTGTGTGTGCAGTTGGAGGGTCACAGACTTAGCGCTGCTCAGTCTCTCACAGTCTCTGAGCAGAGCGGAAGCACGCGCTCCCCCATCAGTCTACCGGACAGCGGAGCAGCATAGCCCACCTATCCCAACACCTTCACCCCCTCACCACCCATCTGGCCTCACTGACCCGCTGAAGGACGACAGGGAGAGGGAGTCCTGCGGAGAGCAGCAGCAGAGTCTCGTGCGGAATTCTTTTTCTTCTTGTCCTCTGTTTTTGTTTAGAAAGTAAAGCAGTGCGCGCACAGATGAGTCACCGCTGGGGGGTCCACGTCAGTGTGCGGCTCTGCGGGTCTGCAGGGTCTCTGCCCGGTCCGCGTGCCTCGGTCACCTTCTCGACGATGTGTGGTGGTGACGCGCGCGGAGACGAGTGCGCGTGAGTGACGGGCAGAGCGTGTGTGTGTGTGTGTGTTTGTGTGCGTGAGTCTGTCTCATGCAGGATGTCCGCGGAGCTCCGGCTCCAGCTCAGCCGGTCTTCATGACGCTGCGAGCGGCCTCGTCATGCGTCTCGTGCCCGCTCCGCGCGCTCAGTCTCTCCGGCTGCTCTTCCTCTTCCTCTTCGTGATGGGGGTCGCCCCTTCCCCCGCGCTCACGGCCGGATGTCCGGACCGCTGCGTGTGTGACGACCAGCTGGTGGTCCAGTGCGCGGGGCAGGACCTGCTGCAGTTCCCCGCGGACCTGCCGCTGGCCACGCGGCAACTCATCCTCTCCAACAACCGGATCGGTGACCTGCCCGCGCTGCAGCTCAACTACCTGTCCGACTTGGTCTACCTGGATTGCAGCAACAACTCTCTAAGCGAGATCTCAGAGTCAACATTCGGGAACCTGCGGAAGCTGGCTTACCTTGACCTGTCTTTCAACGTGCTGCTGCAGGTCGAGGACCGGACGTTCGGTCCGCTGGCGTCTCTGGTGATGCTGCGGCTGACGGACAACCCGGGTCTGGCAGAGATCCATCCGGACGCCTTCTCGGAGAACCTGGCCCTGCAGGTCCTGGATGTGAGCCGGAATAATCTGACGGTCCTGAACATCAGCAGCTTGATCGCTCTGCCCGCGCTGCGCTCCCTGGGACTCAGCGGGAACCCCTGGAGCTGCGACTGCGACACTGAGGACCTGTGTCTGTGGGTCCGTATAGAGGGCTACAAGTTTCAAGGTGAACACAAAAACACACTGACTTTTTGAACTCAGAGTTTGCTTGAAGTTGGATACATATGTAAAAGTGAACTAAGTGTGTGTGTGTGTGTGTGTGTGTGTGTGTGTGTGTGTGTGTGTGTGTGTGTGTGTGTGCGCGTGCGTGCGTGTGCGTGCGTGCGTTCGTGCGCAAAGGCAATTCAAGGTCTCCTCACGTGTGTCTGTCACTTTAGATCTTTTAGATGATTTGATTCTGGCTAATCCCTTTGGAGGTGGGGTATTACTTTCTTTTTATGTTATGGATGCGCGCACACACACACACTCACAATCACATACACTTGGGCCTGAGGTGCAGACGTTTCATGATCGAGCCCAAAAAAAACTGAACTGTTCTGCTCCCATGAACCACACAGAGAGAGGGAGAGGGGGATAGAGAGAGAGAGTGTGTGTGTGTGTGTGTGCATGAAAGACAGAGATAGAATGATAAATGGACTCGGACTTGTGTAGTTCTTTTCTACTCTTCTGAGAGCTTAAAGCACTTTTACACTACATGTCATGTCACATTCACACACCGCTGATGCAGTGTTAGCGGTTCAGTATCTTGCTCAAAGACATTTTGTGGCTGCAGGAGCTGGGAATCAAACTCCCCACCTTCAGTTTGAGAGGTGACCCGCTCTCCCACTGAGCCATGGCTGCTTTAATAAGTTAAACATTCCTCAAAGGTTTCCTCAGGAGAAACTCTCATCTTTCACAAGCACACAAACGGAAGAAATTCTGCAAATAGGCAAATTCATTCATATTAATTTGACCAGAGCTAACAAAGCTAACAATTAACACTGCTTACAGAGCAAACAGAGCTAACAGAGGCTAACAGCTCATACATTTCGCAGCATTGTTTCTAGTGAAGCGATCAGTGTCAGACATCATTTGTCTCTCTCACAGTCTGTATAAACATGGGGGGGATTCTCAATGATGTCATCATTGGTTTCTGAAAAGACGTTATGAAGCCCATCGATGCGGTCACCATGTTGGAAATGCTGACTCTACCTAACTTTAGATCAACAAAGTGATGGCGCTGAGGCAGGACTTAAGCCTCCTGACAAACAGCTACAATAGGCCAACCTATCAAGTCAAAAAGATCACGGCCCTAATCATGCAAATGTATGAATATCTGATCCTTCATAAAAGGATTCCTGCTGTAAAGGTGAACATTTTAACATGTGGTGGGTATGGATCTTTCACAAGCAGCATCAAGTGGACACTCGAGGAACCTCAGTTTTGTGCACTTCCACAATGTCTTCATTTTTCAATGCCAGATGTTGCTCTTTGGACTTCCCTGTCAAATACAGAGCTGCTATCATTAGCGCCCTCTACAGGCTCTTGAAGATTTCAGTCTGCTGCTGTAAAAGTATGCACTGGTGACCAGAAAAGAAACGAAACAGCCTCAATATGTGCATGAAGACCTCATATAAAAAAAAAATAATATATATATATATATATATATGTGTGTGTGTGTGTGTGATATAAACATTGTCGAACCTCCTACTCTCTCTGTGAATCTTCCTAAATGTCAACTCAAGAAATCTAAAAACTCAGCTGATCTTATTTGAGAGCTGGCAGGAATCAAAAGTTGGGAATGGTACCAAATTAACCGATCTGTATCATCATCCTTTTTTGGTACCCTTCTGTTTGGGTGCCAAGCATACCGATCTGTTTTAAATATCCTGTGAGTTTAGAGAATAATGTCAAGGCAGAAGTAGGCTAGAAGTAACAAGTTAAACAGAGTGAATGGGGTCAATGTATATTAATATATATTAATATATATTTAATATATATATATATATATATATATATATATATATATATATATATATATATATACTGTGTGTATGTGCATGTGTGTGTTTGTGTCCGTTCTCTGACTGCAGGCTCTGAGTCTAATGTACAGAGATTTCTGCTGTCACTGCCTCTTACTGTGGATGTGAATCAGGTGTACTTGTGTGTGTTTGTTTGTGTGATTGTGTGTGTGTGAGTCCAGTACTATCTCACTCAGATGCTTCTTGAAGGTGTGTGTGTGTGCGTTGTTGGTGTCTCTCTTTTGATTTTCTTTTCTCACAGTTTGTTTGGAGTTAGTAAAGAGGATCAGGATATGTTTTGTTTTGTTCCCTGTATGTTTGTTCTTATACCTCTGTGTTCTCTATCTTATCACCATCACAGGGTTTAAAGTAGTTTATTTGATATGTGCTGAAGGGTGAAGAAAGTGGGATGAAGGGGGTGGAGGTAAAGAGGGATTAGCGAGGTGGAGGCAGGTGAAGCTTAAGGGAGCCAATGTTGGGTTCACACTCAGGATGGATGGGGTCACACCAGGGTCACACTGAGGGTGGGGGCTTGACATGTCTTGACATGTTGTCTGGTTCAGCATCCCGTGGTGGTTCCTGTTCAGAGAAGAGAAGAGAGGAGGAGAGAAATGGGACGAGGGCAGATACTGTTCTGAGGACAGGAGAGAAAGGTCAGGAAAGCTATTAAATGTACACACAGGTACGACACAGGTGAGAGAAATAATTAGACACAGGTGATTGAAGTGATGAAGTAGTAGTGGTCCTGTTCCTTAACTTGTGGTATATGAACTCCATTTTATCAACCCTGACCATTCAGGAAATGACAAAAACAACAGTAATCATAACTGTTACAACAACAACACCACTAGCTCACACTGTAAACACATTTTATAGAAGGATGATTATGTTTAAAGATTTAAATTTAGAAAAAGAGTTAAATGTGGGGTGCCTGTTCAATATCCAAACATAGAGGAAAAAGAAGAAGCAGAAGAAGATGAAGGGGAGATAGGGTCAATTGAATTACTAGTTAATGAAAGTGATCTTAGACTGATCAAAGGAAACACAAAAACTGATCGAGATAAACTCTGACAGACAGAAACAGTTGAGTCAGAGACCATGATCACTGACATTAAATCATTTATTATGACCCGACAGATCAATTCATCCTGATACAGACACATCATCATTTATAGATGAGCTTTTGTGTGTGTGTGTGTGTGTGTGTGTGTGTGTGTGTACTCCAGTATATAAACACAGGTCTGAACACACCTTGCAGACAGGTGAAACAAAGAAGAAGGTTACATTGTTAATCGGATGATCTCATGTTTCAGGTATCAGGTTCATCAAACAACAACATGTTTATAACAAATAAAATGAGCTATAACCATCAGCTTGAGACCTTCCCTAATGATTACCACACAATAATATCAAATATTATGATAACCGCCTCTTAGACAACATTAATCTGAACGTTGACACATATTGAAAAAGGTAAATAAATAGAGATGTCCTGATATTTTCAGGGTGAGATGCATGTGGGAATCCAAGCAGTCAAATATTTCACTCCAACTTTCCTCCGACTTTCTCCTCTCAGCCAACTCATCAATTTTCTTATAATTAATTATTATTTTCAAGTTCTTATGACATTTATATCACATGACTGGTGCATTTGTCATGCTCATAATGAAGCTGCTTCATCATCCTTTCTGCTCATCGGTATTCTTCTCCACTCTCTGTTTATTCTGTGAATTACTACAGTTACAGGTAGCGGTATAAAGGCAAAAACTGTCATGAGACATCCGACTCTATTGCTTCATCCGCTGCCACTTGGTTATCTTGTAAACATTACAATCACTGTGTTTTTTTAACAAAATGTCCTGCCTCTTTAGACGCTCCTCCCATCAGTTAACTTCATGCTGTGAGGGACTTGTGTTAAAGAGCAACTCGGGAAGATTTCCAAGCAGACTGTCCTGTGATTGGTAGAAATGAAGAATCCCCCCACACACAGCTGAATGTTGAAATCCTCTCTCTCTCTCTGAGCCCAGATAAAGAATAGTCTCAGGAGTCTTTAATCTGTCCAATCACAGAGGGTCCTCTTCATTTTTCTCTTATCACTCTCCTTCATGTTCTCACCTTTGGCTCCGTGGTCACATGACTGCACTTTAATGAATGTCGTTAGAGTCATAATAATCCATCAGCAGCAGAAACAGAGCCAGAGCCTTATTATACAGATGGGATGTAGCAGATGATGTGTTTATTAATCAAATGGGATGTAGCAGATGATGTGTTTATATTACAAATGTGGTGGAGTGGGCAGATGTGTTTATTAAATAGCAGTGATGTAATATGTGGATGTGTTCATTATACTGATGTGATGGGTGCATGTTATTATTGTACAGATGTGATGTAGTGGGTGGATGTTTTTATTGTACAGATGTGATGTAGTGGGTGGATGTGTTTATTGTCCAGATGTGATGTAGTGGGTGGATGTTTTTATTGTCCAGATGTGATGTAGTGGGTGGATGTTTTTATTGTCCAGATGTGATGTAGTGGGTGGATGTGTTTATTGTCCAGATGTGATGTAGTGGGTGGATGTGTTTATTGTCCAGATGTGATGTAGTGGACGGATGTTTTTATTGTCCAGATGTGATGTAGTGGGTGGATGTGTTTATTGTCCAGATGTGATGTAGTGGGTGGATGTTTTTATTGTCCAGATGTGATGTAGTGGGTAGATGTTTTTATTGTCCAGATGTGATGTAGTGGGTGGATGTGTTTATTGTCCAGATGTGATGTAGTGGGTGGATGTGTTTATTGTCCAGATGTGATGTAGTGGGTGGATGTGTTTATTGTCCAGATGTGATGTAGTGGGTGGATGTGTTTATTGTCCAGATGTGATGTAGTGGGTGGATGTGTTTATTGTGCAGTTGTGATGTAGTGGGTGGATGTGTTTATTGTCCAGATGTGATGTAGTGGGTGGATGTGTTTATTGTGCAGTTGTGATGTAATGGGTGGATGTTATTGTCCAGATGTGATAGTATGTGGCTGTATTAATTGCAAAGCTGTGATGTAGTGGGTGGAGAAAGGGTTTTGGGTCCTGGGTCGTGTTTGTGCTGTATTGAGGTGGTATTGTACTAACAGTACCGTCAAACAAGTCTCAGTTCCAGTTTGCTTTAGTGTTTCTTATTCCCATACCCTTGCTCCACTGAAGCTTCGCCCTTTCATCTAAATATGGCCATATTGCTCCAAAAAAACTGACATGATGATGTCCTGAAAGCAGAGTGAACAAACAGACACACACCTCCCAAATCTGAGTCTCTGTGGGGTCAAGACTGACCTCAGCTCATTAACATGCTGCTTGTTATGAGCTGCACATGTTCACACCTGTGTGTAATAATGAGAGGGGTCACCTCTCTGTGCATCAGTGACTGTGTGTGTGTGTGTGTGTATGTGTATGTGTCCAGCATACATACACACACATACGCACACGTACGCATGCATGCATGCATGCATGCACGCACGCACACACACACACACACACACACACACACACACACACACACACACACACACACACACACACACACACACACACACACACCGAGGAGGTGGTTACAACACCTTCTGGGATCATTAATCGCAAGGTTATCACTGCACTGTGTGTGTATGTGTTTGTGTGAGCTTGAGTAACTAATCACTTTTTGTTCTTGATATTTTCAAATCACTCTAATTATTTTCCTCTCATCTCTCCTTCTCCTCCTCTCCTATCCTCTCCCCTCCTCATTTCTCTCCTCGCCTTCTCTCTCCTTTCCTCTTTCCTCTCCTCTCCTCCTCTTCTCTGTCCTCTGTCCTCTCCTCAGATGAAGGTCAGACAGTGTGTAGCAGTCCTCCCGAGCTGATTGGTCAGCGGTTGGCGGAGGTCGGTATGCAGCTGCGGGCCGACTGTCACCAGGGTCTGGGCTATTGGGACTACCTGTTCTTCATCGCCATTGGCTTTGTCATCTTTTCGGCGGGCACAGTGTCTGCATGGGTGATGGGCGTGCTAATGGTGCTGTACGAGCGCTACACCAAGAGGAAGAGTGAGGAGCTGGACAGTGACGATGAAGAGGAGAGAGGAGGGCTGGGAGGAGGAGGGGGAGGGGAGAACCAGGAGAACGGAGATCTGAACAAACCAAACATGCAGGTGTGAGGGACTGATGAACTACAGGATGAGGACACAAGGACATTAGGACATGAGAAAAACACGGACATAAAGACACAAGGACATGAGGATAAAATGACAAATGAAAATGTGGATACGAGGACAGAAGGATGTGAGAAAAGACATGGAGGACAGGGAGACCAAAGGCCTGTCTCTCCCTCTTTGTGAGAGTGAGACAGTTTGTGAAACTCTCACAATGAAAAGAGCAATTAAGATTATTGACAGCAATAAGTACACACACAAACACACAAATACACACACACATGCTGAATGTAATAATAACTAATTAACTGTAGTGCTTGTTCATCATGATGGTTCTCTGTGGAGGTCTGATAACAGTGTGTGTGTGTGTGTGTGTGTGTGTGTGTGTGTGTGTGTGTGTGTGTGTGTGTGTGTGTGTGTGTGTGAGTGTGTGTGTGTGTGTGTGTGTGTGTGTGTGTGTGTGTGTGTGTAAATGGGAGAATCTGATCCTTCTGATGGTCAGTGAAGGTATCATTAGTCAAGGTTTTATTTTCTAATGGATTCAATAACTAGATGATGATGATTTGTTCTCACTGTATACATAAAGTGTGCTTAAAGAATTCCACTAGCAGTTTTCAAAGAGCAAAAGAACACCTGTTTTTACCTGCATTCATGTACGGGTGTATTGAGGGGTGTGTCTGTTCACCTTGATATCATTGAATGTTGCAGTTATGTTTCAACACTTCTGACCTCAGTCATCATAAGTCAGGTTTTTATCCAGATGTCGCACAAATTTTATATGAACTAAGAGTAAATCAGTAAAAACAAATCGTGAATTGTTTCAGGTTTCTACAAAGACCCCAAGAGGCAGGGGTGGTAAATAATTAAAAATGTAATTTCAGGTGTGTGCAGAAAAGTATCTTCTGAGTATAGGAAAAAAGTTGTGTACAGAATTTATTTTTCTTTAGATCAATTGAAAGTGTTGCTTTTACAAATACAAATTTTAGTGACTTTAGTGTAACTTGTTAGGTACAGTGACAAGTGTAGACAGGTGGACAAGAGCTCCACAGCTGAAATAGGACACCATCAGAAAAATTCCAGTACTGATCATAGCTAACAGGTCATCAAACTGGACCTGGTACTGATCCTAGCCAACAGGTCACAGGTGTTCTCATTGATGGTCACAGGTGTTGTCATTGATGGTCACAGGTGTTCTCAGTGATGGTCACAGGTGTTCTCATTGATGGTCACAGGTGTTGTCATTGATGGTCACAGGTGTTCTCAGTGATGGTCACAGGTGTTCTCAGTGATGGTCACAGGTGTTCTCATTGATGGTCACAGGTGTTCTCATTGATGGTCACAGGAGTTCTCATTGATGGTCACAGGTGTTCTTAGTGATGGTCGCAGGTGTTCTCATTGATGGTCACAGGTGTTGTCGTTGATGGTCACAGGTGTTCTCAGTGATGGTCGCAGGTGTTCTCAGTGATGGTCACAGGTATTGTCGTTGATGGTCACAGGTGTTTTCAGTGATGGTCACAGGTGTTCTCATTGATGGTCACAGGTGTTCTCAGTGATGGTCACAGGTGTTCTCAGTGATGGTCACAGGTGTTCTCGTTGATGGTCACAGGTGTTCTCGTTGATGGTCACAGGTGTTCTCATTGATGATCACAGGTGTTCTCATTGATGATCAGGTGTTCTCGCTGATTGTCACAGGTATTGTCGTTGATGGTCACAGGTGTTCTCAGTGATGATCACAGGTGTTCTCAGTGACGATCACAGGTGTTCTCATTGATGATCACAGGTGTTCTCATTGACGATCACAGGTGTTCTCATTGATGATCACAGGTGTTCTCAGTGATGATCACAGGTGTTCTCATTGATGGTCACAGGTGTTCTCATTGATGATCACAGGTGTTCTCATTGATTTTCACAGGTATTGTCGTTGATGGTCACAAGTGTTCTTAGTGATGGTCACAAGTGAATAAAGACTGGTGGATGACTGACAGTCAGAGGGTTAAAACTGTTTCTTTTTGTGACTGTATCCTGTGTGTGTGTGTGTGTGTGTGTGTCACTTCATGTTATAGCGTGTGTGTGTGTGTGTGTGTGTGTGTGTGTGTGTGTGTGTGTGTGTGTGTTACTTAATGTAATAGTGTGTGTGTGTATGTGTGTGTTTGTGTATGTATGTGTGTGTGTGTGTGTTGGTGTGTGTGTGTGTCTGTGTGTGTTATTGATAGCTGCTGATAAAGTCTATAATGTGAACTTAAAGCGTCTTTAGTTTTGTATCATAAAGCAATAAAGAGTTCAAGATAAAAGAGTGGATCAATTAAATTCTGTCAAATTTTATTATAATTTTGCTGCAATAAAAAATCATTCTAACTTTAAAGTAGTGACTTGTGAAAGTTTTATACTGAAATACTTAAATTACAATGACAGATTGTAATTCTGTAACACCACCGTGTCTTTAGGTCTTTGTACTTTCATATCGATCTTATAACAGGGTGATTTTGGTGTCCCAGTCTGTGAATTCATATTGTTTTAGGTTGCTTTCACACAAGGAGTTCAATGGACTCAATACAAATTCATTGGTGACGTTGTAAAATTGTTGCATTTTTTATTTGTTTTTCTTTTTCACTGCACTTTGTCAAACTCATCAAAGTTTGTCAAATGTTGTGTACCGTAGCAAGCTGAAACTAGTTTGGGCTTTAGCTCCATCCGGCTGAATGCATCTGGCCTAATGCTGCACTATGACTCGAACGTAAACAACAGGACAGTGGAAGAATGGCATCCAGTATAGCATTTTGTCAGTATTTTGAATTATAAAATGGAGATTAAAAAATATGTTGGCTGTGTCAGGTTGAACTAACATATTAAATGGAGCAATGTGTAACAATATTTAGCAAAGGCATGTGGACGTTCAACTGCAAGGAGGACTGTAGAAATGTTAACTTTAGCCACGTTTTCCAAACTTATTAACCGAAATCTGGTGCACTTGGAAGCGAACCAGACCCAGAGTTCAGTTCTTAGGCTTAGACTTCATTTGAACATTCACATCACCCCAAACCATACTATCTGATAAAGCGCACCCGAGTTCGATTCAAAGAGGTCAAACAGCTTTGGTGTGAATGCACCCTTAGAGGCAAACGTGTAAAGAAGCAACAGTAGCTACACACACTGAAAGTGATCCCGTCTCGCCCAGCTTAAGGCTCATAAGTGCTTCCTTTACATATAAGATGAGATATGTAGGTTAAAACAAAGGAATTTGATTTGCTGTACTTTGGCGCCCACCGCAGGTCTCTGAGTGGTAAGACACTCTCATTACCATGGTGTATAACCATGGTATGGTTATGGTGTATGACCCCGATCTATAACCACATCGGGGTCTGACTTGCAGTCTACTGTTTGTTGAACTCTCTCTAACATGAACAAGTCTGTCCAATATTTCCTCTAGTCCGGCTTCTTGCTCCGTCACTCTCTGTTTTCTTCTCTTCTTAGCTTCATCTGTCATTGTCCTCTTCCTCTTAGCTTCAGACTTAGCTCTTAGCTTAGTATTAAATAGTAAAGAGACTTGCTTAGTGGCTGCTTTGTAGCTGAAGGCTGCTGTGTGAACTAGTGTAGTTAAGCCATACACCCTTCTCACAAAATGAGCTCAGCCCGCTGCCAAAGCTGAAAGCAGGTGACCGAGACGCTCTGTGTGGACATGAGAGAGCCATACTACCTGTAGAAAGTTATTTCACTGTTAGATCAACATTGAAACTACTGTTTTATGGTGGAAAAGTTCCAGATTGATCGAAACGTTATAACCCTCACTATATACTCCCACGCATTGGGATGGACGTGAAACATTGCATCCTTTGGCGGGCGTTGTCTTTCACAGACCCAGCTTTTCTGTTGTTGTTGCCAGTCCCTGTACTGGATGTACGGGATAACATCATATATATATATTTAGAGTTCATAACCAACTCACACAATCTTTCCTCTAAAGGTGCCAACGTTTTATAAAGTATTCTTCTTCGCTGATCTGGCATGAAGTGCTCAACACCGCCCCCATGATTTCTGTTGGTATTGCAAAGTTTGGTCTGCATCTGTAAGCTTACAGAGAACTTGAAGAAATATGGCTGAAATTAACGGAGTATAGTCAATATGTGCATCGGATGTAGAGTATAGCTAAGCCTTAACGCCTCTGTTACTTTCTCTGATGACCGCACAGTGGTGGGACAATGTGATCCACCTGTTACGCCTCTGTCCCATTCATACTGAAGGAGATATGTTACAGGAGCGTAAATGGGTCATTGAACTGTCAATATGAAAAGGGCTACATTGACAGTTTAGCCTCATTTTCAGCCTTCTTAGTGGTCCCTTTTGGTACTGCAGTCATAAATCCCCCTGATCCCACAGAGAGTTTCCCCCATAGAGCTCTATGATAAAAGAGACGCCTGTAAACTGTTGACAGGATCAGTTTTAACTCTGTATGATGAGGTCATGATCCTCAAAGGTTT